AGAAAGGAGGAGAGAGATAGGAAGAGTGAAAAATGTGGTGTGGGCCCTACAAAAAATTTTCAAAAATTGTTTCACGTGCAAAAACGACAAAAAAAACTGGGACCACAACTACTGAGAATATATTTTGTACCACTGAGGATTTTTATAAGTACCACTAAAACCGCATTGAGTACCACTGGGAGTGTATTTTGTACTACTGAGCTGTAATGATATTATTTGACAGTCTAATTAGACATTTGAACCTTTTTTAAAATACCACTAAAATTATATTTTGTACCACTGAGAGTGCATTTTGTACCACTGAATTTAAAAGGCAAAATTTAAATCCCGCATGAAATGACCAATTTACCCATGCGAGATACTTCTACATCTCTCTCAACCCTCCGTTTATATAACCTCGTCATGGTTACCTATATACATATGATTTCGAGATAAAAGCTTATTGGACTTGTGAAGTGGACTCTCTCTCTCTCTTGGTTGTGGGTACGGTCCAGACCAATATTTTACAAGATAAATTGAATGCCATACGAAGGTTTGTTATTAGTCTAGATGATCGATACCAATAAAAATGTATAGATCAAAATTTAATCAAATTGAAAAATTCATGAACAATAATTTAAACTTAAAATTTATATCCAAAAAACAAAATTACAATTCAAAGCTCATATCAATTCGTTGCACCATTGGCTCTCCTACAATTAGTCCTAACTTCTCCATGTGTACCCGTAAGAACTTCCATTTTACTAATTTTTACAACAGCTTTGGCATAATCATCGAAGAATGCTTGTTGATTCGAGCTATAATTTGCGACAATGGCATCGGTTGGTCCTCCTTTTCCGGTGTACAGTTGTTGATCGGAGTTAAGGAGACCTTTTTGCTTCATTAGGTTGACAAAGTATGCGTTATCAAACACAAATGGAGTTGTAGAGTCAATTGGTGCTGTGTTGTTATCCCCTCCTTCTTTAGGGCAATTTGCTTGTAGGGATGCCGCATAGGTTGGATCTATGTTTTTAGCTTCATAGACACGTTTTCTATAAAATTGGCATCTTGCTAAGCCCACCGTGTGACTACCTATATATATTTGAGAGAAACAAAAAAAAATGACTTTAGGTTATCCGTCTAAAAAATAATTCATATAATACAAGTAAAAGTTGTTACGAACAAATGTTTAGATCAACTGATAAAGGGAGTTGTACGTTTCAGCTAAACTAAGGTCCCTGTTTCGAGACTTGGAAATCCAACATAACTTGTTAGGAAGTGTTTTTCCAGTTATTCCCAAAAGTCTATCTTTATTTTGAAGTGGAGCATTGTGCCAATTAGTAATTGAAAAGTGGTAATTAAGTAAGGAAAATTATTGTTACCTGCTAAAGCCACAAATTCATTCTTATTGAAGCCTTTCATTGCGAAGGCTCCAATTTGTGTACTAACATCTCCAAGAAAGACAGGAACTAAGGTGTCAGCCAAATCTTTATGTGCTTCAGTTGAATCTCTTCTTCCTAATGGCGTTGTCCAACTTGGTCCACCAAGCTAGGAAAAAATCCCAAAATAAAATCATAACAAATTAACAATTCAAGTACATGGAAAATAATCTAAGTCTACATACAATTCTACATTACATATATTGGTGTTAATTAATGTTGGTCTAATTTACATTTTATATCTATCTTTTTCTCAACGTGTGACAAAGGGGCTTATACAGTTATACCCAATATTAGGTTAGGTATTCAAATACCAAAATAAATTGTTCAAATGCACTTGTAGAATTATTTGAAAGGACTTATATGATGATAATTAAACATACCATGACAACAGAGTCTCGAGCAGCCACTGCTAAGATATCTGCACAAGATACCACTCCTGGACATGCTTTTTCTAGCTGAGCTTTGATCGAGTCAATGACTTCAAATCCTATTGTTGAATTGCCATTTACGAATGCAGTTCTTTCCCCGATTGCACTTTGAGTGTCATCGAGCAAAATAGAACCATCACATCCCTAATTTTTTTTTGCAAAGATATAGAACATATTACACAAAGTGCTAGCTTAAATTAAAACTAATGTAATAATTAACTCTTTTAAAATTTTGATGATCACATGCATTATCCCCCTAACCCATATGCCCTGAAAAAATGTGGAATAACATATGGATGTGCATAGACACTTGACCTACATTTTTCTTCAATTTTAAGGATAATCCTTTACCTCATAAATTTTAGCTAGTAGAAGTAATTTGTTTTTTCAATATTTTTCTAGGATCAATAATTAGGAGCCACCAAAAAGTTCATGATACAAACAAGTTCATCATTGATATTATCATGCAACTCCTAAGATCAAAAATCTTACACCAATAAGGCAATCAATGAAATGAAGTCTCAACAATGCTGCACCCATACGAGCCTCCTTTGCTACCGCTGATTTAACTTGGGATTGTATTATGGTGTTTGCCTGAGGACATGATGTTACATAGAAGTTCTCAGACAATTGAGCGAACGCAGACCCGAAAAGGATAGAGATCAAGCAACATTGAAGAGACAAGGAGGAAGCCATGGTAAAGATCAAAGCAAGCTAAAGAAAAAACATAGAAAACAATTGAAGTAAATCACGTAAGATATTTAAAGTTCATAGTAATATACAGCTATACTTTAGTAATAGGCATGGTTCCAAATCTAAAATCTATTTTAAGGTGCTGTGTCATTGCCTATGGTAATGCATGCAGAGTGCAAGGCAAATCCCTTATTTAGACAAAGAGTAAATAAAGTTATTTTTGTTTTCTTGTGCTTACAAAACATCTTGCATCTAAAGTTATCTAATACCGTACATATAAAAAATAATTAACCTAATCAATTCAGTATTATGTATAGTATGTGCGTGGTATACTAAGTTAAGCTTGACCTAGTTATATTATAAGGAATATATATAGCTTTTAATTCAACTTTGATACTAGATAACACTTTAATTTTCATACGTCTAAATCTCATCTCAAAGTGTCTACTCCACTAATTTAAGATTAATGTTTACTTAACATTGTAAAAAAACTATTGTATGTGTTGAAAAATTGATAAATCTCAGATTCTCATCCAATAATCTATGGTAAACTTTAGTAATTTGACTCGTCAAAAAGCAAAAATTTCGAGTGATATAGTAGTTAAACTCCCATGATGTCACATCTTGACAAACTACAAAATTACCGGAAATTTTCAGTACTTGAATGAAATGTCACGACCAGATTCGGAGAATTATCAAGTAAATCGTGCTTTTATTGAGGGAATAACCCACGTGTTAGCCCATAAGTAAATTACCATGTTCCCTCAACATTGACAAAAAAGAAAAGAAAAAAAAAGGTGGTCCAAAATTATAAAATGCTACTTTCACTCACTCTACTGTTTCAGATTAAAGACTTATGGTATTTAATATTTAAGATAGTATCCAATAGTTCCTCCGTTTTTAGTTACTTGTATGAGTTGCATCACATTAACTAATATATATATTTTGAGGCAAATGTTTGCTATGGTGGACATGTCGAATCAAGCCAAGCTATTCTCTAATTATGACATAATAGTTAAATATTACTCGTATTATCGGTTAGTAGCCAAACTTTTCAACCCAAAATCTGTCACTGAACACATTGCCCAAAATAAAATTTTAAAGTCATAATGTATTGAATAATGCACGCATTAGATAAAGTGATGTGAATTTAGTCATGATAAATCTAGAGTAAAGGTTTAATATGTTAGTGATAGAGAATATCTATAAAATATTCTCATCCTAGGTTTAGGATATATTTTGTATAAGATTATCTTTGATATCTGTACATATCTTATAGTTACCTAATATGATTAGGTTTCTCATTGTAACCCTATAAATATTGATTAATGGAAATCACTCTAATCAATGGAAATCACTCTAATCAAGGTAACTATAAGATATGTACAGATATCAAAGATAATCTTATACAAAATATATCATAAACCTAGGATGAGAATATTCTATGGATATTCTCTATCAGAAACAATGCTACTATGGGAAATCTAACCTGGAGATGTGTTAAGATAATTCCTAATTTGTCGAGATGAACACACCCTATCTAATCTTTTGGTCCTCCTTTTCTAGAAGGAATACTCAAAGTCTCTAACAAATGTACTGACTTTTCGCAGGATTCATCTCTCATGAATTATTAGCTGGCTAAATTTTGTAAAATGTTGATTTTGGATTTGAATTTTAATTTGAAAACTGAAAAGTATTCATTCAAGTTGGACACATGCTCAATTTACAAATGCTTACTTTTGAAGATGTATATGTCCAATAAGGCAGCTTACATAACAGTTCCAAGTAGGAATTATATGGCGATTGATTTGATGGATTCGGCTTACAATATTTGTTTTAGGTTAAATACAATACTTTAATTAATATATTTGTTAATATATAATTCTAATTGTTAATATTTATTATTATTTTTAATAAAATTATGTAAATTGAATTTGTTGAAAATATACGTTAAAAAAATCGAAAACATCTTATTCTTTAACGACATTTATTCTTATATGCTAGTTAATAATAAAGGCATGTTCACGTTTACTTAGTTTCAGTTCAGTTTAGCTCTAATCAGTTCAGTTCAATTCAGCTCATTTCAATAAATGTAAACAGACCCTAAATATGAACAAAATAAAACATACAAATATTGTCAAAGTCAAATTGTTGCATCTAAACAAAATAGAGATCATAGCTTAGCTAATTAAAGTCTTAGCATAGCTCAAAAGATATACTTCCATCCTATGTATTAATACAAGTAGTATTATATTTCTTGTTAGCTATTTCAAATTAAGACACACCTTAATGAAATATCATAGGGCCTAAGTTTAAAGTTGAAATGTAATTAAGAAAAAGAAAATCTAACTACTCCCTATTAATTAATGATTTTATCCATGACAGTACATTTCATTTTGTCCACTTCTACAAATATGTTCTGCTTGGAATTTGGGCCCAACCTAACATTCTTCTTAGAATATTTAATTTACTCAAATTGTTCACACTTTAATTTGGATTGGACTAGATGCTATCATGCTATAAATTAAGTCCTTTGCTTTCCTTACAATCCTCCACCTCCCTCTTATTCAAAAACAGTGTCTAGGCTCATTAAGCCATAGCAGAAATGACTTCCTTTTTATCAACATCTAGTTCAAAGTTCTTCAATTCAAAACTACAATATTGCTTGTTTTGGCTATTAATTGGTGTAGCTTCAGCTCAATTATCACCAAATTTCTATTCAAGCTCATGCCCAAATGCACTTTCCACAATCCAATCTGCTGTTCAATCTGCTATAAATAATGAGACTCGCATGGGAGCATCCTTACTCCGGCTTCATTTCCATGATTGCTTTGTAAATGTAAGTCACACTTGAATGCTTTGATCATATTATTTTCTAGCATGTATGCTTGTAATACCCTTTAATAATGTTCTTGAATTAGTTGATCATTTCATGCAAGTTTAGTTAATTTAGAGGAATGTTCAACAAGTTTGCGTTTGCTCATCTTTGTCGGTCCAATTTCATCATGACCGATTTTGAGGTCAATGGTTTTATTAACGATTTGAATTGGTGTATTGGTTTATACCATTATTATCAACATTATTGATTGAAAAAGTTGAAAAAAATCTACATATTCAAATATGCTTATAGCAACCTAATCTACTTGTCGCATCGAACATGTTTATATAGGTAGTAAAAACCAAAAAGAATTGTTGCATATGAAACGTAAAGTGATCCTACTATAATCATTTTATACCTTTACCATGTTACCAATAAATAGTCATCTCAATGCGCGTAACATGTCACCCCTAAATACAGCTATATATTTTAACATAGCATAGATTGTCACCCCCATACTATTTTCACCATTTTGTACTTCAAACATATATATATATATATATATATATAACTAATTAACTAATTAATTAACTACTTGTATATTTGAAATATTTAAAAAGTATTTAGACATTTATATTTCTAAAAAATATTTATTTATATATTTTCTCTTTTTAATAATACTAACAACTAAATTTGTGTCAACACACCAAACTAAATAGTATTCTTGATATGACTAGCTATCGTTTGTGCATTAACCGTCCAAATTTTATTTTTTAATTGGAAGAGAATTACTTATTATTAGTTTGGATTAAGCTTAATTGCATATATCAAACTATTTGACAAATTATACTTTATGTGGACGAACAGGGATGTGATGGTTCCATTTTACTCGATGACACAGCAAATTTCACTGGTGAGAAAACAGCGGTTCCAAATCTAAATTCAGTTAGGGGTTTTGAAGTGATTGATACCATTAAATCACAAGTTGAGAATGTATGCGCCGGTGTTGTATCTTGTGCTGATATATTAGCAGTTGCTGCTAGAGATTCTGTGGTTGCGGTAACAATGCTACTCCCTCCGTTTTTTTTTTTAAATGCATTCTTTTAATTTTTGCACTATTAACATACCATGATTGACTTGATTTTTTCAAGTCTATAAAATAAATAAATGTTATAATATAATATATCATTAGATCGATACGTCATAATAATGTCTAGTTTCAAAATATGGAATATAATTTTGTTATCATTTTTACTAATTAATAATTAAAGATATTAATGGTCAAAATTACGTCTCCATCAAACTGATATAAATAAAGTTTTTAAGTCTTCTTGGGATTAAATTAAATTTCCTTACTTTTCATGTCAATCAATTAATATGACACATGAACCTATGGACATCCACCAAACTTGTCAAATCTCATGTATAGAACAGTAGTAATAAGATATAAAGTTAATAATCACGAGAAGTCATCTATTCACATGGTTACACATTTTAAAGTAATTAATCATCTAATATAAAGTTTAAAAATCTTTTGGAGTAGGTGTTTATGAAGGTGACTTCATAATGGAAAAACACATGTAATTTCCGTGTGTTATTTTTTTTTTTCTTTAATTATTTTCGTGTTAAAAGAAGGGCAGAAGAGTAATATTTAGTAATAGCTAGGGCGTGAATAGTAAAAATAAAGTTTACATGACAAGTAGTTCTCTTGAAGAGTGTTACTACCTCCGGTTCGTATTATATGCAACTTTGGTGGATTATTTGTGAGATATAAAAAATTTCAAAGTTGCATATAATACGAACCAGAGGTAACATATAAAATGAAAGGAATGAATACATTATCTATCTATCTATACTTCGTAGTTAAAATCACAAACCACACATTACTTATATGCCACATGTCACCACAAATCACTCATATGCTACATACTACCTTCTTTATAAAAAAAATAAAGTTCATGTCTTTATGCATTCTGTAACTTGCAAATTTAAGTAGGGAAATTAAGTGTTTCAACTACACCAAAATAAAGTCGTAGTCTTTTCATCTCCTAAACTTAAAATAAAGTAATAGTAAAAAAAAAAAAAAAAAAAAAAAAAAAAGGTTGAGCTAATTAGTCCACATTATATAAAGTATAATAAACAATGTTGACTCATATAACACAAATAAGCAACATATTACAAGGAAAACATTCTAAGTAATAACCCGTGCATAAAACGGGCCAGAAGGCTAATTATAGCTAAATAGTTGTAAAAAGATGGCTTAACGAGTAATATATTGACGTATCATTAAACAAACAACACTAAAAAAAAAAAAAAAAAAAACAAACAACACTATAAAGCTAGAATTCGAACTCTGTTTATCTTGTGATAAAGTGATAAATAAATAAATAAAGCTAATGTAGTTTAAAAAAAAAAAAAAAAAAAAACTTCCCCCATAATATACTAATAATTATTTTAGCTTTTTTCAATTTGACCATATATACTCAAGCAACACTCTCCTCTTTAATTCTCCACTTTAATCATATACTTTGATTTATATACCTGCTAATTACAATAGTACATTTGATTTTCATGCTTGTTTTTTATGATTTGTAACTTTAACTATTATATACTTTAATTATGATTATAAAAATAAAAATTAATAATATAAAAATATATATTTAGATAAATAAATCTAGTAAAATCTCACTTGTTTACAGTTCGACCTTAATAGTAATAAATGTGAAAATGTTGTGAATAAATAAAATAAAACAAAAAAAGTATATAGATTTGTTTCAATAGAAGCAATATCAATTTTTAAATATCATAATTGATGAAATTTAAGGTTTAGATTATGTTTTTGCTTTTTTACTTTTACTTTCTAAGACTTACATTAGAAGGAATGCATGTGTACTTGCAATAATTTTTCAATTTTTGTTCCATAATTTAGCTTGGTGGACAAAATTATACCGTGTTACTTGGAAGAAGAGATTCCACAACAGCAAATATGAGTGCAGCTAATTCCAGTCTTCCTGCTCCTACTTTCAATCTTTCCCGACTTATTACTTTGTTTTCCAACCATGGCTTTAATGCCCAAGAGTTGGTTGCTTTGTCAGGTATGTACGTACTCAATAGTTTGGCTCGGCCACATACACGTTAAAAATAGTTTATTGTAAGATGAAAGTGATATTTAAAATCTCACAACGTTCAATAAACATATATATGGTACTGAGATAAACTTTTCATATATATATACATAGTGACATATTGTTACATATCATATATATTCAGCTGTTGTCAAATAACATAAATAAATAAACTTTTTATATTCATAGTGACATATAATTACGTATGTTATATTAAGACATTGTACGTTCATGTATTGCAGGTGCACATACTATAGGGCAAGCAAGATGCACTACATTCCGACCACGTATCTATAACGATACTAACATAAATTCCACATTCGCCACATCTCTACAATCAAATTGTCCTCAGACCGGAGGTGACAACAACACTTCACCACTCGATACTACCCCGAACACGTTCGACAATGCCTACTTCAACGACTTGTTAAGCCTAAAGGGTCTTCTTCACTCGGACCAAGAATTGTGGAGTGGTAATACTACTGGAACCACGGATAATCAAGTCTCGGCTTATAGTTCAAATTCGACGGCATTCTTTAGGGATTTCTCCAATGCTATGATAAAGATGGGTAACATGAGTGTTCTTACAGGTACAAGTGGAGAAATAAGAACAAATTGTAGGAAGCCAAACTCAGCTGGTTTGAACTTGATTGACACTAAGATTATTGATCTAATCACAACTATATTTAATATGTAAGGTATTGTATGCTAAGGAAAAATAAATGCATTGTGTGTTTTGTGATCTAGTATGTTCTTAATATTTTAATGAACTAAGGAATATATGAAAAATCTTGTAACGGTTTTGAGTTTTATATATGGATAACTTACTGTATACTTCCTTTGCATTTTTAGTTAATATATTTTGACTATTGCACTATTTAGGGGCCGTTTGGTTGGGGTTAATAATCAAAGGGAAAGGGAATGAATATGCCTCATTCCCTTTGTTGATGTTTGTTTGTCATTTTTTTTCATTCGCTTTACCCATTTTTATTTTTGACTTTACCCAAAATCCTTCTATCTTGATTCCCCACCCCTCTAGCCTTTTCCATTCCCTTTCCTAAGCCACCACTACACACACCAGCCACTACCTTACCCACTTACCCCCACCGCACAACCACCTCGCCGGAGCTCGCCTAGTCCTCGTCGGGTGTCGCCGGAGCTCGCCCAATCCTCGCCGGCAGATGCCGCACCTTCCCATCTCCAAATCAAAACTCGTCGTACCTCCCTCTAAAGAATTCTCCCTTCCCGAAAAAACTTAACTCACCTACGAAAAACCCATCCTCGTCCACTTAAAACCGTCAGCCGTCACCTCCCCTACCCTCGAAACCCTAGCTGTTAGGGTTTCGAGAATAAGGGAGGTGACGGCCGACGGTTTTAAGGGGACGAGGATGGCCTGGGTTTCTAGGGTTTTTCGTGGGCGGGGGGAAGGTTTTCGTGGGCGGAGGAAGGTGGTTTTCTGGGCGGCGAGAGGTGGGGAAGGTGTAGCGACAGGCGGCGATGGTGGAGGAGGTACGACAACGAGCGGTGAGGTGGTGGTTGGGCGGTTGAGTGGTTGGAGAAGTCACTACCACCAATGCACAACCCCTCATTCCCATGCCTTTGATTTTTAAAAACAAACAACATAGTATAAAGAAAGGGTTTCATTCCACTCTCTTCGATTCCCTTTGTTTATTCCATTCCATTTACCCCGTGTGAACCAAACGGCCCCTTAGTGTGTTTACAAACTATAGTTTGATTAGCTTTTGTGACGTCACACACATATATAAAAACTTTAACCAATAATAATATCTTTAACTATCAATAAGTATAATTTAAAATAATAGAAGATTAATAATCTACTCATTGAGATGATTCCAACAAGTATCTACATGATATTTTTTTTTCTTATGTATAATTCACAAACATTGGTCAAAGTAGGCTTAACGATAATAGTGCCAAAACTCCCAATATGACACTTCAAAAAAAGGAGGGAGTATTGATCATATGGAATCATGTTTGAATCATTTCGATCTAATTAACTATTATTTGTACCCGCTTTTTATAATATACAATGTCGATAATTAGATGTACTAATTGTTAAAATTGTATGTTGGCAAATGTGATAATAGACAACATATAAGTTTTAAATGTCATCATTCTGTTGATCTGTTTGTCTTAAATATAGCTTATATACAACCTAATAACCTATATAGATCCGACAATGTGTAAGCGTGTAACCAACGTAACTAATTAATCGTATAAAAAATTAGTAAAAGAAAATGCATTATGCATAAGATCCAGAAGAACCTAATTTAAAATGAGTACAGATATAAAAATTTAATAATTTTAATATAAATGAAAAATAATTCACATATAAACCCGAGTTTATATTAAATTCTAAAACTAATGGTGCGACGCCATAAGTACAAGTTCATATATACTCCATATATACATAGATACTTTGTATTTTTGTAATGAGCAATACTCTTCTGATCTTGAACTATTGTAACTTTTGACTATAAGATTTTTTCAGCTATGTTCATTCTCTAACATTGACCATTTGTGATAAGAAAAAAAAACCCAATCTTATTCACTTGAACAATTAATATTTTGAAATGAATTGATGCTATATTGTTATATATGCACATCAAAATTTAATAAACAATGTATCTAAACTATTGTTTGGATGCCTTGATTAATTAACATAGTAGTATACAAAGTATCTAAGTGTCGTATGATTTGACCCGTAAATCTTGGGTACCTACCTAAATTTATAAAGCCCATCCTTAACAATAAACCACTTTGATGTAATATAATTCTAGCATAACAATGTGAACCAGAGCAAACGTCTGAATGATTGAGCAAACTAACAAATCAGATATTTAAATAGGACAATCAATGAAAATACTCCAAATTGTACGTGCATCATCATATTGCGATCGAATTGTCCACATACTATTTTTTTTTTTTTTTTTTGACAAAAGAGCTATCAAAGAAAAACACACTGCAACAGAAAGAAACAAACTAAAACTAAAAAAATGGCAATTGTCGTCGCCTAGCGCAACCAGGACCGAGAACCTTACGAATTTGACACACCAAAAAAGATTTAACAACCGCACGCAATTCTAGAGTGAGCCACCAAACCGAAATGTCCATTGGACCTGAATCCGGAAGCAAAGAGAGAAGGGGCGCACAATCAGAATGAATCTGAATCTTTAAGAATCCTTTGCGAACCACAGCCTGAAGTCCCCATAAACAAGCTTGTAGCTCAGACTGTAATGCCGATCCAGATAAAGAAGTCCTACTACCTCCACCCAAAATCTCCGAAGAATAAAGGTCACGAATAACCCAACCTGCCCCAGCCTACAAGTGGAGCAATCCCAAGCTCCATCGACAATCAAACAAACCGTGGGGCATACGCCAGCTAGGTAAACCCCTCAAACACAACCAAGGATTACCTAAAAGCACAGGCGAACTAGACGAGCAGGACCCCAATACAGATTTCTTCCATTCCTAAGACTGGACACAACGGTGGAACCAATCCTCGGCCAGAACTTCAATTGTCCTAGGCGAGTAAACTGCATGTCTGAACCTTAACTGGTTCCGGGAAAGCCAAATAACCCAAAGAAGAGCAAATAAAGACATAATACCCTTCCAAAATTTATGAGAATAGAACTGAGAAACGGTGTCAGCCAGCCAATCCCCAAACTGAGGGAACAACCAAAGATCCCAACAAATCCCCAATGCTCCCGACTACCATAAAGATCTCACAACAAGACAGTCTCTAAAAGTGTGCGACACCTCCTCCCATTCCTGATGGCAAAAGGCACATATCGGGTCAACCGAACAACCACGATAATGCAGAAGAGATGCCATCGGAAGAGCATCATGTAATAGTTTCCAGCCAAACACCTTCTGCCGAGTGAACTAAACTGAACTAAACTGATGATTGGAGCTGAACTGAACTGAAATTAAGCTGAAGTGAACAAACCCTAAGTCAAAACTATTATGTGAATATGAAAAAAATCAAAGTGTAACACTTAAAAACAAAACATGGAAGGAGTAGTAAGGGTGAGCACGAGGATTTCGGACCAGATATACGAAATTTGGGATATCTAATAATGTTTGAATCCATTTAGAAAATTTTTTGATCAGATATACCGAATATCATGTATCCGAAATATTATATAATAATTTTTAATTGAGAATTGTTTTAAGGAAATTACATGTACAATAACACCTAGATTTTTGGATCGGTTATTCGTTATCCGAAATAAGGATATTTAAATTGGATATCTGTTATCTGATGTCCTCAATTAAAAATATTGAGGATATTATCAAGATATCTGAAAATCCAAAAGTTGGTATCTAAATAGATGTCCAATATCCAAAAATTTAGGATCGGATATCAGATTTGAAATTAGTATATCCGATCCGATATCCTAAAATATCAAAATCGGATCTTCATATTTTTAGGGCTTGTTCACATTTACTGAACTGAGCTGAACTGAACTATTTGGAGCTGAATTGAACTGAACTGAACTTATTGGAGCTTAACTAAACTGAATTGAATTGAATATAGCTTAAATGAATATTTTATAAGAAGAAGGAAATTAAGAACTAAACTGAACTGAATTAAACTAATTGAAACTGAACTAAACTGAGCTTTTTGAAACTGAACTAAACTGAAATGAAATTAAGCTGAAGCGAACAGGCCCTTAGATCTTTGGATAGTTTTGCTCAGCCCTACTTTATACTCCACTTTGTATTGTCTATATATATTTAAGTACATGCTACCATCCACCCATCATTGTATTCAAGGAAACAATAATCAGTATTATTAATTTCTCCTAGTTCCAATATAATGGAGTTTTTCTTATCATCTTTTGGATCCAAGTTTTTCTGTTTTAAGCTTCAATATTACTTGTTTTTAGTACTCATTGGAGGAGCTTCAGCTCAATTAACACCAAATTTCTATTCAAACTCGTGCCCAAATTTACTATCCACAATCCAATCTGCTGTGAGGAATGAGGCTCGCATGGGAGCATCCTTGCTTCGGCTTCACTTCCATGATTACTTTGTTAATGTATTGCAACACTCGACAAATTGAACACTTTCTACAAATATAAACTTGCATTTGATATGATGTTATGTGATTTATAATGTTTTCACCATCTTCTTTAATTTATGGTTTATTATTACATGCAAGTTCTTTGTTTTTACGTCTAATAATACGTCAAATGATTTTGACATAAAGAATTGCACTCTATGTGGATGCAACAGGGTTGTGACGGTTCGATTTTACTCAATGACACTGCCAATTTTACTGGAGAACAAAGTGCAACTCCAAATATTAATTCGGTGAGAGGCTTTGAGGTGATCGACAACATAACAGCTCGGGTTGAGAGTATATGTGCTGGTGTTGTATCATGTGCTGATATTTTAGCAGTTGCTGCTAGAGACTCCGTTGTTGAGGTATAATAATTTTTATACTCATAGTAATACCTTTATACGTATTATACTCACTACTTGAGTAATACTCTCTCCGTTTTTAAATATTTGCTCTATTTTTCTTTTTCAGCTACTTGCTCTAGTTTCTTATTTGAAAAACTTTTACAATATTTAATTAATTTCGCCTACCAGGTGGACCCAATAATATTAATTCTATATTCTCTCTTCTTCAATCCTCTCCACTACTTTTGGTTTTTTACAATTTTTTATTCTTCCACCTACTATACTACCTACATATTTTATTACTTTCTCCAATTTCTCCTAAAACTCCGCGCATGTAGAAACGGAGCTAGTATTTCTTAAAACTATATTACGTATTAGGATTGAGATCCAATAAGAAGTTTCCTAAAATTAGAAAAATGAGAATGATGAATTGTGCATAAGTTTTTCATTAAATATGCAAAATTGATTTTCAAATTAAAAAAAAAATATGAATTTTTTGGAAAATCGAAAAATATGCACTGTTTAAAATTTATGCACATTGATTGGGGTCAAATTTATTTTTCTTTTTCTTTTTTTGTTTTTTTTTGCTCATTCAGTTCAAAAATATATGCACATTCAGTACAAAAAATATACACATAAAATCCTTCTCATTTTAAGTAAACCATATTTTAATTTGACCCCAAATCTATATATCATCAATATTCCATGGCATCATTGATAGAAATTTTATACTACCTATATTTATAACGTATTAAAATTTTTACATAAAATTATAAATATTTATGAATGATTTAATCTAGTTAAATAAACTAAGGTAAACATAATTTAAGAGAAAATTGCCATGTATAGAGGACAAATAACATTTGAGTAAAGAGAAATTAAATTGTTAGAGAATTTTTCAACTATATAAAATGACTTTGATTTGGACATTTGATGAGATGAGTGGTATGAAACTACGTAGAAGCCTATCACTAACGAATCACTAATCAAGTACTCGTAGAAGTACATGGCTGTCATTTGCATATAATTATGGTGAAAGAAACTAGTGTTTCTTGATGTTTGTTGTTACTTACTCTGAATTTCGTATGAAAAAGTGTTATTAGAGTATTACGTAGGGTTCTACCCCCGCTTAAGGTTTTGCAAGTTGATAAATAAATTAAAAATCTACATTAAGTAACCGTTAAAATAAGAACATGTGAACAATAAAATAAGTCAAATTATATGAGAATATTTTGTTATTACTCGTATTATTTTATTATTACTCGTATTAGTTATAATTACTTTGCTTCGTTATTATTCAGCTTGGTGGACCAAGTTGGACCGTGCTACTAGGAAGAAGAGATTCAACCACAGCAAATTTAACTGCAGCTAATGTCAATCTTCCTGCTCCAACTATGAATATAAGCGAGCTCACTAAAATGTTCTCTGACAAAGGACTTAATCCACAAGATTTGGTTGCTTTATCAGGTTTATTGACTAATTCAATACCTCTTTTTTATTTAACACTTTTTCTACATGTAAATTATCATATACGGGGTATATATATATTAATTATCAAAGTTGTGCATTCATATTAATATAACGTGAAATTCAATATAAAAATTAAGTGAGTAACTTCAATCGATAGATTAATCTTGTTTATTGATAATCTATTGTAGGAGCTCACACTATTGGTGTTGCAAAATGCTTGAATTTCCAAAATTGCCTCTCACAAGACTCCAACATAAACCCCACATTTGCTTCATCTTTACAAGGAACTTGCCCTAGGGATGGGTCAAGGGCTAACAACACCGTGCCACTCGACGCAACCCCAACGACGTTTGATAATGTCTACTTCAATAACTTGTTGATTTCACAAGGTCTACTTCACTCCGACCAGGAATTGTTCAATGGTACTGGATCAACAGACTCTATAGTCTCGTCTTATAGTTCAAATTCTTCAACATTCTTTAGAGACTTTGCCAATGCAATGATAAAGATGGGAAACATTGATGTTATTACGGGCACAAATGGAGAGATTAGAACTAGTTGTTGGAAGACCAACACTGATGCTTCAACCTTGATTAAAGAGAAGATTTTCGATATAATCACAACTCTCTTTGATGTTTAAGGATATATGGGATTACCAAAAGAAATTAAACTTAAACGAACCTTCTTTATATAATTAGGATTCTACTCGTACTAAATGTGTATTCTTGTAAACTAAGGAAGACTATGTATTCAAGTAAACTAAGACAATATGAAATACTATGTATCAATGTATGTGAAATACTTAGCTACTAATAAGAAATAGGAATAACCTACCAATGGTATTATCCAAGATATCATCCGTATATACCAAGATGCATGGTATATGATTTGTATGAAACACTTGGTAAATACTAATTGTAAAGCAAAATAGTATTAACATAAATATTATGGACAAAGACACAAAGTACTACCTCCGTTACAGGTTATGTGCAACGATTAGACATTTTACCTCTCTGTTTTATGTCAAATCGTTGCAAATAACCTGTAACGGAGATAGTATAATTTTATACGTTAACGTTGTGCAATTTTTTCAATTCAGGGGACCGATCAATCAATTTTATAAATAGCTTAGTACAAGGCCTTTGATTATAAGACGATCTTGTATTTAGCGTGTTCTTTAATTAAAAATGTATATAGCTAAATGAGACTATTACACTTAGGTGTTTGTCCTAACTTTGGAACAATTAATTGTGTAAAAAAAAAAAAACCGATAATTCAAAAAATATCGTTCAAGATCACACTAATTAATATATTTCATTAATACATAGCAACTATACACAATTCATTGAGGCGAAAACAAAAGTAAAAAAAATAGGAAAAGAAATCAATATCACAATACATTAAAAGAAAAAAAAATCCACTTTCCTTACAATTCAAATGCAATAGTTGTAATAAGTACAAAAATATTCATAATCTCAACCATATATACGTAGTAAAATCAATTGGTTTTGCTGCAAATAGTTCTAATTTCTCCGTTTGTGCCAGTAAGTACACTCAAGTTACCCATCTTCACCATTGCATCCGAGAAATCAGTGAGAAATGTTGAAGAACTCGAGCTATAAGACGAGACTTGAGAGTCCGTGGTTCCGGTACCATTTCCATTATACAATTGTTGGTCGGAGTGAAGAAGACCTTGTTGGCTCATTAAGTTGGTGTAGTAGGCATTGTCGAACGTTGTTGCACTTGTTTTGTCAAGGGGCGAAAGGTTGTTGTCTCCTCCACTTTGAGGACAATTTGCTTGCAAAGACGTTGCAAATGTGGAGTTTATATTAGTTTCGTTATATATACGTGTTTTGAATGTGGTGCATCTTGCTTGCCGTATAGTATGAGCTCCTACAATTGGAAAAAAAAAAAAAAAAAAAAACATTAGTTGAAATGTAACACAATTTTACTAGTAATGCTACATTGAATACATTTAATGATAGGATATAAATATAAAATGCATGCATGTCCATTATTGGCTCATTGCATGCATATTCTAATTCAATTCAATATTAAGTTCATGCATGCGCGCTCATGCATTCATGTACGTTTGTTTAAATTTTATTTTGTACATCGTGTCCCTATTTATATTGTTTATTTACCAAATGGGATTTGTTAAACATCGCCCGCGTTTTTCTACATAAAGCCCACATTTTTTAAAAATGTTGACATTATTGCCCTTGTTTTAATTTTTACCGAAAATAAAATTTTTCACTCATAAAAAATGTGGAGCAGGACTGGATCGCCGAGTGAAACCGAAGAGCCCTCAACGTCGGGTAGATGCACCGGAGAGACGCCGTTGACGCCGGAAAAGGAGGTACGAAGCCATCTAAAACCACGAATTGGCGGCTGGCGTCCTGCCGGGACGCCGTGACCGTAGTGGTGGCGCCTAGCCAGGACGCCGCCACCGTGGCTCTGGCGCCTGGCCAGGACGCCGCCACCGTGGCCGTGGCGTCTGGCCAAGACGCCGCCGCCACGGTGGCGGCGTCCTGGCCAGGCGCCACCGCCACGGTGGCGGCGTCCTGGCTAGACGCCACCGCCACGGTGGCGGCGTCCTGGCTAGGCGCCACCACTGTTTTTTTTTTTTTTTTTTTTTAATTTAATTTAAAATTTGTTTATTTTTTTTTTTTTGTGTTACAATTTTTTTCTTTTTTTTTTTGGTTTTTTTTTTTGTTTTGTTTTTAATTGTTTTAATTTGTTTTTGTTTTTAATTTATTTATTTTTTATTTTTTTTTTTACAATTTTTTTCGTTTTATGTTTTTTTTTTGTTTTTATTTTTTTGGTTTATTTTTATTTATTTAATCTAAAGTTTTGTTTATGTTTTTTATTTTTGTGTTTTGTTTTTTTTTTTTTTTTGAATACTTTTTGTTTATTTCTTTGTTTGTTGTTTATAATTTATTATTGTTTTTGCTTTTGTGCTAATGTTGTGTCAAATGTATTAATTTAATCTACTCTTATGTGATTATATTTATATGTTATTGTTGCAGGATTATGGTGGAGACGGAAATGATTATAGTGGGATTTTTGTACACGATGGTCTGTTCGAAGATGCTCAACAAGCGGTTGATTGGGCGAAACAGGTTGCAATTAGATCAGGTTTTTGTTTAGTAGTAGCAACTCATAAATCTCAACGGGATGGTAGAATGGATCGCATTTTGAGATGCGACCGTTATCGCAAAAGGGAGGAACGAGATTTCAGTCAAGCGATTCGGTTTGATACAAAGCGGAAAGGTTGTGGGTGTCAGTTCAGAGTAAAGGTTCGACAACAGCAAAGGGGTGACGGTTGGGAAGTGAAGAGTTACGGTAAATGGGGGTATCACAACCATGAGATGATCGCATATGAAGTGGGTCATCGACAGTTAAGTGGCCTAAGTCCTGCTGCGAAACTAATTGTAAAAGAAATGAGTGATGCTCAAGTGAAGCCTGCTAAAATATTAGCATCTGTGTTGGAGAAATTTCCTGAAGACCAGCCAAACCGAAGACACATCTACAACGTCAGACATAAATTGAGGTTTGAACGGTCAGAGGGAAGGAACCCTATACAGCAGCTTCTACACCAGGCACAAGCACGTGGTTACCTGTACTGGTTTGAATCTGATGAAGACACATCGGAGGTGACTCATTTGTTCCTTGTGCATCCTGATTGTGCTGATATGATTTCGTCTTGGCCATCTGTGATTCTGATCGATTCAACGTACAAGACAAACAAGTATAAGTTTCCACTGGTTGAGATGGTTGGGATGACTCCAACGAACCAGAACTTTTTGATTGGTTATGCAGTTATGAAGGATGAGACGGTTGCGAGTTACCGTTGGGTGTTGGAGAAGTTGAGAAATTACATCGGCCCAAGTGTTCAGCCATCGGCCATCGTCAGCGATTGTGAGGGAGGTCTCTTTGCCCCTATAAAGACAGGATCCCTAACATCATGATGCCGTTCCTGGACGGGTGGAATGATGTGGTTGCAGATGGTAACTGTGGATTTCGGGTTGTGGCTGATGTGTTTCAGATGGGTGAAGACAACTACGGTTTAGTGCGTCAGTTGATGTACAGTGAAATCGCCTCAAACCGAGCTGTTTATCGCCACGTGTACGGACAGGACTTGGATAGGTCTCTGCAGCGTATCCGGTGGGGAGGAGGACGTTGCGGTCAAAATCATTGGTTCGACGCGCCCCTTGATCTCTTCGCCGTTGCAAACATCTACAAGTGTGCAGTGATGCATTTCGGCCTTGGTTTGCATGGTCGAGCTTACTATCCGTGTACCACGGTTCTGCCTTGGTGTTCGCGTGAGACCGTCACCAGACCGGTAAGAGAGGTTGCTATTGGATTTCTGGGGCCGTCATACAGACATTTCATCCGACTGGACCTGTCACCCGATTTTCCGGTCCCACCGATTATACCAACGTGGTACACCATTCGTACAGCAAGCGTAGAGGGCTGGGATGCGCTATATCATGACCGGGTGCAGCAGTGGAACAATCTAGTTGCCTTTTCTATGTGACCTAATATTGCTATTGCTATGTTTTTCCCATTTATTTAATTTTCGGATTCTAATTTTCGTATTTAGTTTTCCCATTTAAATGTGAACCTGTATTTAGTTTTCGTATGCCCACTAATTACAACTTAAAATAAAAGTTATAAAAACTAAAAATATAATGTCAAATTCTAAGAACTTAAAATAATAATTATAAGAACAGATAATGTTAACTTTTACAAACAACTAGGAAAATGTTTTATAAATGCACTGCCGACATATCAATAATCTCTCTGTGACGCCCACTGCCACTGCTCAAGGGCCCGTTCCAGTTCATCAATAACAGCTCTGCCTGTTGCAGTCGTCATGTTGTCCCTCTCCTCAAAAAGTCTGTGTCCCAACTGCGTCATCTTTCCCATCCACTACACATAACAAAACACATAAAATTCAATAACGACGTATTATGAGACGTATTATATGAAAAAAAACACAACTACAAATGTTTTATGAGACGTACCGCATCCACGGCAGTGGGCGGTGGCACATCATCATCATCGGCGTCGTCGCCGTGGTGGACGTCTCTGATCAACCTCGGGTGCGAGTGCCGGTTGTACCACTCCATGTAGTGCTGGTCACACATGGCAGCCACCCCAGTTGGCGGCCGCTGCAACTGCTCAATCCATATGCGGGCAACCATCGGAAACTGCTCCCACGTGCCAATCATGCTTGCCGGCCATTGGACGACGTACTCCTTCAACGACGCAGATCGGACGGCCTTACTGGGCCATGCTGGTGGAGGAGGAACAACTTGGACATATCCAAGCTGGCGAAGACAGCGCTGCGGCATGTACGCCTCTACGATCTCACGATACTGAATCAGTCCCGTGTAGAGGGTCCTGGGTACCCTATTACTAGGGTTCTGGCCGAAAGGCATCCAGTTCACCTGCACATTTTTTAAAATTAGTAAGATTCATACAATAAACACATCAAACTATAAAAGTAGAAATAATTTAAACACTTTACCTCTAATGGGGACATCCTGTCAAGCAATAACCGTATCGATCGCAGGCGGTCAATGGACTTCTTCTCGACACGCGGACTCCACGCACAGGCACGTGGCTGGCCAT